AAAAAAATGTATCTTATTTCCAGAAGCAAACTTTTCTAAAAGAAATAAGCCTGGGATTTCGAGCAATGAATTCACTCGGCAGTCGGCAGTCGGCAGCCATGGACAAGAAGACTTTCGATCCTGTACTGCAACTCTCCATTTATTACTTTCTTTTGCAGTAGTGCTTGGGTGTTCTTTTCAATTATACATGTGTGTGGAACTATTGTAGGATTTGATACACGCCATATTCAAGCAGATATGGACGAAAAGAGCCAAGGGTTTGCCTTTGCCGTTCTCACTCTGTCTCGTTTTCGCATTCGTTTCCTAATTCCTAACTTTTTGCACACTGCAGAGCGCGAGAGGAACCAATCCATTGATGCAGTGGATGCCGAGGTTTTGTCACATCTCTCTCGACTCAAATTATTAACGAAGCAAATGCGTGTTTCTAATACAGCATCAGTTTTATCGCTTTATTTCTGAAATTGAAGCCAATTTCTACATTTTGATTTTTGTGTTACAATTGTGTTCCTTTTTTTTTAATTTATTGATTTGATTTTAGTTTATTTATCATTTTTCAAGCAATGTTGTTGCCTATTTGTGTTTTTTATATCTGGGTGAATATTGGTACAGGTGGGAGCTTGCACATCCAAGAAGGGCCGCTCCACTTCTGGTAAGCCACATTACAATTTGTCCCAGTTTCTTTGAATGAAGTTTGTTACCCCTCAAGCTCTGTGGTGATCATGTAGTTTGAATGATGTTATAGATATTACCGTCCTATATGTATATTTTCTGCTGCAGCTAATGCAAATGCCCTCAAGCTGAGTTCTGAACTTCTCCAAATTTTTATCTCAGGTTCTCCGTTTTCAAAATATATGTAGTGCTTACTTGAGAATGAAAAAATTTAAATCCTATTTTTTCTTTTTTATTCTGGTGAACCCTGTTGTCTTGATGCAGAGGCTGTGCAACGTGCTGCTACAATTGCTGAAGCAGAGGGTGGTAGAGAGATTGAAGCTACTCATGTGGAGAGGATTCTTCCTCAGTTACTTCTTGATTTTTAGCCTACTTAAGGTGGAGCTCATATCTGATATTTTGCCTTTCTTCCTGCTCCACTTCAACCTTTTTTAATCTTGGAAATTATAATTAACTTGACACTATGATTTTGTTAATGCATCAATTTCTAATTGAACTGAGATGAAGAGCTTTTATTACAGTGCCAGATGTTTAATGCATGCATTCAATTTATAGATCTTTTCTCTGTTGTCCTAACAGCAGATTTATTCAAGTTAAAGATTTTCTTTATTGTTTCAGTGGCGATTATGGTTATTGTTTGTGCATCCTATTTGCTAGATGAAAAGTTTTCAGTTTGTGTAAACAAACAAGTAACAATCTGTATTTTTTCCAGCAGGAATCACATTCTCTCTCTGTTTGTATGAAAGTACGAGTGTCTAATTACTGTTTGTCCACATAAATGGATTTCCACATATATGGCATGCTGTCTTCTCATTATTTCTATTCATTTGCATAAATGAACACTGACACCAAATCAGAGCAATCTATTTAGGATACTGCTGAGAAATTCTGTTTGATATTTAGGCCCATTATTCTTCTATCTTGTTTTTCGTAGCTAGGCTGGAATCAACAGACTTCAATCTGGCAGGCAATCAACCCAAGTAATAGCAAATTTCTTGATGGCATTGTGGCAGACTTGTGCCTTCAAATTATATCAAACAATTTCTAGGATCATATTTTGTTAGGATCTAGACTACATTTGGCACACAAAACCTTAAGGGGGTCTGGAATCACTGTTTTTTAGGATCTGAAACACTTACAGTAGTGGTACACATTGCAGACAATTGATTGGGAAGTTGAAGGTGTTTGCTTTCTTTAATGTAAGCTCTGTAGGTTAGCAATTTTGAGATATTAAAGTGAATTTCTTTTATGATGTTCTTTCTCCAGTTATAGCAACAACAGTTCATTACAATGTTTCTTTAAGAAATGTGAGATTGGAAGAAAAGTTATATTTCTTGATTAGTAAAGGAAAAAGGTCATATCCTTAATTAGAAAATTTTCAAAAGGTTATATCTTTATTTGTACCAAACCTCAAAGAAAAGTTGTCCAGAATTGAATTTCCCCCAATGCAACCAAATAGTCTCTGCAAATCCTTCTTTGTTAAACCCTTTTGAGACAAGACTGAATCAGTTCAAGATGATAAGCATAACATTTCCTGAAATTTTTTTTTGGCAATAATAGGTCAGAAATATAATACTGCTATTTTTTTGCATGCAGTTAAAAACATGAAAATTTGCAGTCTAATGAAATTCTAAGAGAGATTAGATTTTTTGTGTCTGTGATGCCATCTAATGCACATCTTGATTAAGTTTGTAATTGCCATGTTGCTTCCCATTATCCACAAAGCATGTTGATTGAAATGCTAGATATTTTACATTCATTTTTCATTCTTTGAGTTTCATTTTCATTGCTCACATCTAAAACATATAGAAGTTGAATAGCTAAACCAAAAAATCCCAGAAAAATGGCGTGGGTTTGTGAGAGGAAAGTAATTTTGTTGAGTGAAGAGAGGAGGAAGTGGGCAGATCTATGGTGATTAGATCTGGGCATGAGAGTCTGACAGGGTGAGATTTGAGTGGTGAGGCTGGGCTGAAGCTGAGAAGGAGAGATGAGAAAGGGAAGACACAATGGGGACAGGCAATGTGTCACAGTTGAAGAAAGATTGGAAATGGAAGATCATGGGTTCAGTTTAGTGGCCAATGAGAAGCGGGCTTAGAGTGCCATCAACAGAA